CAGAGGGACTTGAGGGCATGGAAGGGTGTTTGGGGGTGCTGGGAGTATTTGGAGGGTGTTGGAGTGCGAGTCATGGGGCCATTGTGGGGGGAACTGGAAGGGAGGTGGATGTTCATGAGGGAAAGGCTGGGGGCAACTGAAGGGCTGTTTGTGAGGAAGGCTGTTAGCAAGGGGAGAGGCCTGGGGCATTTGGGGGGTGCCCAGGTGTTTGGGAGGGTCTGGGAGGGTTGGGGGACATTTGGGGGAGGTCTTGTGGTATCTTGAAGGAGGAAGGCGGGTCTTGGGGGACAGTCTGGGTGGGTGGGCCAGTCTGGGTGGGGAAGAGTGAGATCAGGGATGAGATAGGGAATGGGGAGCAGGAAGTGAAGTAACCTAGGATTGCTGAGGTAGATGTGGCAAAGCAGGTGAGTCTAGGGGAACTTCCGAGGCTGAGAGGAGAGCGGTGCCAGAGGCACTCTGAGCACAGGAAGTTTGTGGAGAGCACAGGTGTGAATAACTGTGGCAGGACTCTGTGTTCCTTCCCTGGGAGGTGAGGCCAACTGCCGTGACCCTTGTCTGTGGGTGTTGGGCACAAATAAGCTCTCGTTATGAATCTGAGTTTACTTCTGGCTCACCTGTGACACATGACATTCCTGTCACCCTTCCTCTGCTCTCAGCCCTCGTAAGAGCAGCATGACTCTACAGGGAGGAAATGTTTTGGGTTTGACGGATGTGTGTGCGTGTGGTGGGAGCGGAGGTCAGCAGGTGATCTGGGATTTTGGGAAATGGTGTGCGGGAGAAGTGCTGCATCTCACCAAAGGCTTCTGTTGTTGCAGGAGTGCCGAATTGCGCATCCCATTGTTAAATGCACTTACTGCAGGACTGAATTCCAGCAGGAAAGGTAAATATCCGCTGAGCTGGGGAGACCGATGTTTTCTTTACAACTGACACACCCAGGGAACTATAACGTTTCCCCACGCCTTTGATGACTGAGCCTGTAGATTGTTGCTGTGGAAGACTTAGGGGACCTTTGGCCTTCTTCAAAGGTCTGCTGGGCAAGTCAGCGTGCCTCTGTGGCATCCTTAGATTTGCACCTTTTGCTTGGCTTTTATTTTTGGTCAGTGCTCAGATGTATCTTCCACTGAAGGATCTGGGTGCATCTTCCCACAAGTTTTCCTCTTATCTGATTTCAGGTATCCAAAAAATGATTTCCTAATGTGTTTCCTTTAGCTGTGCTTTTGCCTTTTTGTAAGTTATGTAGCTTACAGAGGAAGGATTGGTAAAGCCAGTAGCCGTGTGCGGGTATTGCGTGGGGTGTTCTTTCCTGCGTTTGTTGGACAAATACACCTCTGTCCTGACCTGCCTTGACCCTGTCATCCAGAGCAGACCTCCTCCAGAACTGAGGCTGTCACCAGTGCTGAATCACGCTTGCTGCCAATTAGCCAGTGATCAGACTCCTGTATTTGTAAGGACAAAAAACTGGTGTCATCTGGGGATGCCTTAATTAAAAGATACCTCCTAGTAATACTACTTTTTGGCAAATTATCCTCAGCCAGATGGGGATAGGAAATGCACTTTGATATCAGAGTCCCTCGTGAAGATGAATACAGTCTTGCCGCTAGAGACAGAGCCCAGGGGAGACAGGGATCCTAACCACAGAGGTTTAATTTTCTTTGGGGAAGTGTTAATAGAATGATCTGTCCTTCTTTTTAACAGCAAAACCAACACAATATGCAAGAAGTGTGCTCAGAATGTGAAGCTCTACGGAACAGTAAGTGAGAGGGGCTCGTTCTCACCAGCCTCTTTTCCTTTCATCTTTCGTGTCTTTCTCCTGCTGACTCCCAGAGCGTTTTATGGGCTGGCTCTGTTGTAATAGCATGACTGATCAATAATACGCGGATCCCTCGGGCGTGAAGCTTTTACCTTTTCTCTTCTTTTAGTATGGAATAGAGCAGCTCTGCATCATTTTAGGCCAGGAAATGAACTATTCAATATCCAATCGAAACAAGAGAGTGCTTACACAAACTGAGATTGCTGCAGGAAGCAGTGATGAATCTTTCTTTCCTGCTTGTCTGAAATCTGAAAAAAAAAAAGAGATTTTGATTGTTTCTATTTTGGTGTTATATATTTTATGAAGATTTCATAGCGCTCAATAAATGGTCTGGGTGCCATGGCTAAATACACTTAATAGAGACCGGGGGTCCAAGTGTGCTTATGTCTCCTGGATCAGCATTATAGTTAGCTTGGAACGGGGAAATAAAAGTTTTGAAGTGATGGGGAGAAGGGGAAAGAGCAATGTATTAATGTAATTAGAAGGCACTGCTGTATCCGTTGTTCTTGTTTCTTAAAGCCAAAACCCTGCCAGTACTGCAACATTATAGCAGCATTTATTGGAAACAAGTGCCAGCGTTGCACAAACTCTGAAAAGAAGTACGGACCTCCACACTCCTGTGAGCAGTGCAAGCAGCAGTGTGCATTTGACCGGAAGGATGATAGAAAGAAGGTCAGTATCTCTGTAAAAGGAGGCCGAAAAGGTAAAAAGGCTGATCACAGTGCTCTTCTGTCCACCTTGAACATTTGAAAAGGGTGTGTCTCTTGGTTGTGAAGTATTTTTCTTGAGCTGAGCTGTGTTTTGAAGCTGTTTAATCTTTGAGCCCCTCTATTCCTTTGCCAGATCTGCTGAGAAAGATCTCTTGAATTGGGCCTAAGGGTAGGTGGGCTGGCAAAGGAGAAGGGGCCTCAGAGTAAAGCGTGAGGTGCCCGCTCAGGGACAGGGATGGGGAACGATATTTGTGCTGTAGCCTGAGGAGCTGGAAATGTTATACCTCCACCAGGAAACCCATTCTATGGCTTCTGCACACCCTTTGCTTAAACATAAGTGCTCCTTAGGAGGTGTGTGCTTCTAAGGCCTGCGTCCTGCGGGCTGTAAGCATCTGTTGTTCATTTTGGATGCTGTGCTGATATTCCCTGTCCTCCTTGAGCAGAGACCCTTGCTGTTTTGGGCTCCAGTGACTACCCTGTCACGTACCATTCCTTGGCATTGCTTTGGCAGAAATCCCACTGGAGTTAGCCTGCCCTGGTGAATGGGTGCTATAGGACAGTCTGGAAGCAAAGCTTGGCAGAGACTGTAGTTAGGATAGATAAGCTGCTATTAATGAGTACTGTCTGCGTTGCACCAGCCATGCCAGATGCACTTCTTACCCTTTCCAGGCACTCAAGGGATCCTTTTTGAGTCATTGCTTGTGTATATGTGATCTTAAGCCTGAAGGTGCTTCTTGCCTTCTTTGTGTTTGGTTTGTGGGCAGGAAACAAGACCAAAACTTCTCCCCCTCTCTTTCTCTCTCATCTTCCAGGTGGATGGAAAGCTGCTATGCTGGTTATGCACGCTGTCCTATAAACGGGTCCTGCAGAAGACCAAAGAGCAGTGCAAACACCTGAGCAGCTCTTCCCGGGCAAGCCTGCAAGAGAAGGAACAGTACAGTAGGCTCAGCGGTGGCAGCCACTATAACAGGTAACCTGCACGAGCTTTTCTGTTGTGCAGGGTGAGCAAACAGGGTGCCTTGCTGCTCCACGCTCCTTAGCGCGCTTCCTAAAGTAACTGGGAGAAGTGCCTGGGGCCTCAGTGCCTTGGTGATGGGTTTTGGCAGTTGTTTGTTGTTCGGGAGAATCTGGCTAAGTCAAGCTTTGCTAGTTTGCAAACCCCACTCTTCTGGCGTAGACTTGTAGTCCAACAGTGCTTCTTAGTGATTCAGCTTACTGAACTTGTACACAATTAAAGCTAAATTGCATTTGTAAAATTTAATGACTGAAATGTAGATTTTTAAGCATGAGTTATTCACCTACCTACTGATCTGACTGACACATTGTTTTCTGTTTATTTTTAGTCTCCAGCTACTCTTCAGGGAATGAATTTTTTATCATTCTTTCTTGCGCTAGGAAATCTTGTTTTAATAGGTTCAAAGTGGGTGGGAATATTTATCTGCTTCTCTGTCTTAGGTTCTGACATATAATTTCCTCATTTTTCTAGCCAGAAAACCTTATCCACCTCTTCTATTCAGAATGAAATCCCAAAGAAGAAAGCCAAGTTTGATGCCATATCTGCCAATGGGGACAGGTGAGCCTGTTACATGGGGAAATTGTGGGTGGGTGGTCTTGTTTGCTAAGTTTATATAAGAGAATTCTGTGCGAGTAGCAGGAAGCTCTTATGCTAGAGCAGAAATCTCGGGCTTTGGGACCGTGAGGGGCTGTATTAGCAGCTTTCCAGAACCCGACAGGCCAGTGTTACTTGGCATTTAGACATAGGTTTGAAGAGGAAAAGAATACCTAGTGCCTGTACCTGCTGGAACAGAAACTGCTCGTTGGCTGAGCTCCCCAACAGTTAGAAAAACTGCAGCCAGATCAGCTTTATCCTCTCCCTGCAGTTACAGGGAGAGAGGGGCTGTTGGCTGCGCTGTGGAGTCAAGCTCTGCAGGTTTTGTGCTTTTGGAGCGATCAGACTGCTGATCTGCAGGGAGACGGCCTCAGAGGAGAGGATCAAGACCCACCTCCCATTTCCCCTCCTACCTTCTGGGGGAGGGACAAGCAATCCAACAGCTTTGCTTGAAAGCATCTGATCCCATTCTGCTGTCACACATTTGTGCTGGATTATGTTGATGCCAGCTGCATGCGCAGCAGAATGGGAGGACTAGCAGAAAGAGGAGATTGAGATGGATTTTTATATTTTTATGGTCTTGTACATGCATATTTTCATTCCTGCCTTTCCTCTCTGATTCTCAGCGTTCCTTCCTCTCCCGAGATGCTTTGTCCCCCTATCCAGAGTGCCCCGTTCACGTTGGCGCAGTGGGCTGCTTCCCAACAGAGTCTCGGTGCCCACCATTGTCCTGTTTCTCAAGGCACTGACATCCTGAAGTGAGATCACCTGTTGTTTTCTCCCCTGTTGCCCTCCCTCCCTCCCTGGGAACTGCCTCACACATGGCGACTGTCCTTATCAGTGGATCTCTTTCCGAACAGTAGTGTATTGGGAGCACGGACCACAGCATAGGCTTGTTAGTGCCAAAGTTTCTCTTAAAGCCACTGGTAATTAATTAATTGCTACCTGCCTTGAATGTCTTTTCTTTGAGATCACAGATCGCATCTCTCTATAGATGCTATTGACGCCTTGTCAATGTTTGTTATTATGTGAAATGCTACAATGGGAAATAGAACTTAAATAATTTTGTAGGTTGGTGGTTCCCACAGAGCGGTCTACAAGACTGTTTATCATCTGAATGGTGTTTTCAGTGAAAAGTTGGAAAAAATTAAGGATTAACTGGCTCGGGAGCCATGGCTGAGCACAGAGTGGTCTGAGAATTCATCTGACTGCCTTCAGTGCTGGTGGAGCCAGAGGAGAAACTGGAGACAGGTCCCTGGTAGAACTGGTGCAGCCCATCGGTGCTATTGCAGCTTTCCCTCTAGAAAGGCTCCCACTCGCCTACTGAGGCTGCTGTCCGGGCTGTAGGATGGCACCAGGTATTTTTATCTGGTCACTAAAGCCTGGGCTGAGACCTAACAACTCATAGTAATATCCCCACTGGCTCGAAAACGTCCAAGAAGCAAAAGGTCCTATGCTCTGGCATCAATTGCTCAGCCATTCGTTTGCAAAACAGGAGCATGTATTAGAGGAATCAAATGCCTTCATTTTGCTCTTGTGTCAGATGTTGTCAGTCTGGCTCCTGCCAAGGCTGTGGTCCTTGCCACAGACTTTTTTTGATGAATCCCAGTAACAAACCGTGTGTAATTTTAGCAACTACTGAAGAGCTCCGGCAATGTGCTGTAGAAAAGGCAGGCTGCAGCTGCCTTAAATAGACACACGGCTGTGTTTCTTGAGTGGAATAATAATAGTGGTTCAGAAAGTGCGTTTGGGGAGTTGCTGGGGGGTATTTTGTGGGGATGAATCCCCCCAAAGCTCCCCCCTCTTGCACCATTTTCTATAAGATTGTCCCCTCCAGAGTCAGCCTGGAGTTTGGGTCATAGCCTGAGCGTGGAGTTAGGGTCTGCTGTAGCGCAAGGCTTGTTTTCATCAGCCGCGTGGCGATACACAACCAGCACCTCTTCGCTGCTGAGATCAGCCGCAACTTTCTGTCCGGTGTATCTTGGCTCCAGCCAAACTTCTGATCTGGCCTTCGTTTGGGCAAAATTCGGGCATACTTGAGCTCAATTAACTTTGGCAACACTCCCAACAGGGTCCAGCTTGTCTGAAATTGTCCCTTCTTTGCAGATACAACAGGATTCCTTTGCCGTGTGTTAGTGAATTCCCTCTGTGTGTTTTTGTTGACGTATTTTGGAGTGGATGTTGCTCCTAATGGCTGTGATATGGGGACTAAGCAATTTCCAGTGGTTGTATAATGGGTGGCGTTGAATGGTTCATTCTGAGTGAGCTCTGTGAGGAGCTAAGAGCACTGGCCCTGCTGCACGTGGAGTAACTTTCCCCTGCAGTGACTCTCAGCACATCTTGCAGCAGACCTTCCCTTACTAATCCTTCTGTCCTGCCAGCGCCCCCCAGTCCTGGGCTGCCCCTGTGTGTGTGAGGACTCCGGCTTCACCTCCAGCCTCTGGTGCTGTGCTGGTCCTGATTTGGGCAGCGCTTGGTGTCCCCATCCTCTTGCCAGAAGTGTTTTTGTGTTACAGACTCTTCAGATGAACACGTTTCAGTCCCTTCTCCCGTGACTATAGACAAGGTGCTAAATTGTGCTTTTAACACAAATTAAAGCAGGCAATGAGGAGTTGCTACTGACTGAGCTGGCTGGGGGGGGAGCAGTGATGCCTGAGGATGCTGAGCAGCAAAGTACCTTTAGTAGAATGATTCTCATTTGCATAGAAAAGTCCTGGCGAACGCTGGGACTTGGGCTGAACTGTGCCTGGTTTTGGCAGTGTTAGAGGAAGTACAAGTTCAGACCCTGGTTCCTATTGGCCTGGATGGATTTTTGCACATGGTGTGTATTTTTGTCTCAGGTGAAACTTGGATGCTGGTTCGGTCAGCCTGGTCTGTGCCTCTTTATGCTAGCCTGACTTGAATAGCAAAATCTTTAAACTTGGTGTTTGTTTTGCCTAATTTCAGCCATTTAACAGGTGTGGAGTTCAAGGCAGTCATTTTGGTTGCTTTTCCACTCAATAGAGAGAGGCAGGTGTCTTTGGAAGTGATCCATTTTTCCGTCTGTCTCTGCTGAAAGCAACAGGAGCTCGTCAATTCACTTTAATTAGAGGCATGCATTTTAGACTGTTCAAACATGGAGAGCACGTGTCCCCCTGACCTGTCCCAAGGGGCTGGGATCCTGGGTATGGAGTTTATTTGTAGGGGAAATGGCTTTTTGTTTTGTTTGGTTGGGCGGTTGTTTTAATTCTTAGTCTGTTTGTTAAAGGAGCAAATTGTATTTGGCAGTTTTCCTTCTAATTTTGAAGTCTCAGGCTGCTTCCTTAACATGGGGTTAAAGACAGAGAAACCCTTCATTACTAAATTGTCAGTCTTTAAAAAAAAAAAAGGGGGGGGGGAACCCCAAACCCTGCTTCTTTAATTAGCACCTTGACACATTTGAGGGTGCATTTTGCAGCAACTGGATAGAAAAATACCTGCCTGTGCTCACGTACTTGACAGGAGGGGATGCCTGGGCACTCTGAGCCCACCCTTACCCACTTGTGGGTGCACATCCCACGGGCAAGGGGAGGCACTCTAAGCCCTGGGGTCAGGTACCAGAGTCTGTTGAGTGGGAGAGCAGCTCTGTGGAAGGCTGGTGGCCCATCTGTCCCTTCTCCCCACTGGGTGGCAGGGCCGGCTCTCACCTTCCCAGCTCCACAGTGTGCTCTGCAACAGGAGCTGCCAAGGAGGGAATTTTTCCTGCTGGAGCTGCTCAGGGAAATGTGAGCATCTCTTGGCATTCTTTATCACCCCAGGATATGGCAGGAGGGAAGCAGGCCTGGGCAAAGGAATGGTGTAAGCAAAGAGTTTGTTCTTAGCCAGAGGGAATCAGTGAGGAAGCCTTTTTTTTTTTTTTTTTTTCCCCTCTGTGGAGGCTGCTTTTTTTTTTATTCTTTCTTTCTCTTCTCCCCAGCATATTTGCACTGAGTGGGAAAAGAAAGCTACTGTTAGTAACATGCTTGCACACAGAAAAGTGCTGGAGCACCCACCATCATCTTGCACAGCCTCCACTTGGGGAAACCGTACTTGGGAACGCTTTTAAAATGGAGGTATTCTCTACTAGTGCCTGTGTGCGAACCTCTTCTGCACCCGAGAGCTGCCCAGCGTGACAAGCACAGTGTATATACCTGGTATATCCAGAGACCTGCCACAATCTTACAGTGTGGGCTCTACTGTCAGCGTGTGTTAACCATGCGAGACTCTTTCACTGTGGGCTGTCTCCTATAGACCCTCAGTTCTGAGTTTTCCTTTGCCAAGCTTTCTCTCCCCATGCCTGAGGGCTATCTGTCCTGTGACTTTCAAATCTGTGAAGCTGCCCCTGCTTAGTTTCCCTCTGTAGATGCCCAGCACAGTGGTGGAAAGAGCCTTTACTTCTGCCACATCCTTGCTAACCAGTGCAGTCAATGCAGACTGTGCTTTTAATTAGAAAATGGATTATTTCCAGGCCTTAGAGGAGACCCCAGTGTGTGGTGAGCAGCCTCGGTGTACAGATGGGGGACTGGAAGCGCAGAGGTGGCAGCATACTGATTCGGGTTCAGACCTTCCCCAGCCCGTGGCAGCTCCTGGCTTTAGAGCTGAATGCAGGCTTTAGGACATGTGTTGACCTACTCTGGAGGCTTTAAAACAAAATCAAAAATGTCAGTCTTCAGGTAACCCTGGTTATTTATCTTTATAGCAGCAGTGCTGTCTGATAATGGCCAGACTTGAAGTAATCTTCTAGGTGAAGCTTTGTTGCCTTACTGTTAACTTTTTATGCGGCAATATCAGACGTGTGTGGCTGGGAGTGTGCTGCCCTTTTAGCACCAAGAGATAAAAATCAGGTTTACCATTACAGCGGTAAGGAACAGAAGGCAGGCAAAGATCAGGTGAGCTCCCTGGGCCTGTGGCTGCAGCTTATCGTATCTCAGGAGATGAAACATTCCTGTAGTGCAAGACTCTGCGTGGCTGCCCAGATTACTGGGTATCTCATAGGGAGGCTTGTGAATTACCAGTGCAGGGTAGTGACTCATGTCCAGGTAAGTTTTCAGCTGGTTGCTTAGGTTTAGAGTGCCTGGTGGTGTAGAAGTGGTGTGTTCAGCTATTTCTCTGTCTTCCTGGAGAGAGTCTTTCCTGAAGTGGTAATGAAGCTTCTTCCTAAATTGCTGTATCCTGGCGGAATCAAAATACGAAAGTCTAGCATGTCTTTTTACCCATTTTCCCTGCTGAGGACAGTGCTGACTTTAGTCTAGGTGTCTCCCTTTGCTTTGTTTGTTTAACTTGAGGTTATTTGTTTCTCTTTCATGTTCCCTCCTTGCTAGAATGTTTGTTTACATTTAGTGAAAAGTTTTGCTGTACATCCAAGGACTGCCTGTGAGCAAAGAGGATTCATAAGTGGTTGCATAAAGTTTCGTTAGCTCTCTGATTGCTGTCCTCAACTCTTTAGTTTGAAAAAGGAATCCTTACTGTTTGGTTGCTGCAGACACTGGCCGATGGTCGCCTGTAGCAGCCCCGTGTCCCTGCTGATCACGTAATAATACAACTGGATACTTTGCACATAATCCCTGTTGCCTGTCATACTGTGTGTTTCCCAAATTCCATGTGGCATTCAGGGTAGAGGTACAGGTAACACCTGCATTCAAGGAGTGTTTGGAGGACACAACGAGTGTCACGAAATTGTTCCCATTCTCCTTTGAGTGCCATCTGCGTGGGAGTTTCCCTGCCTCAGTGAAGAGAACGGGTCGTGATGAGTCTTTCTTTGCTGCAGTTTTTCTCCAGACCTCGCCCTGGACTCTCCTGGCACTGACCACTTTGTTATCATTGCCCAGCTGAAGGAGGAAGTGGCTACTTTAAAAAAGATGCTGCACCAGAAAGATCAGATGATTTTGGAGAAGGAGAAGAAGGTACAGTCCTTGGCTTGCTTCCCCCCATGGCGTGCTGACACATTTACATGGATGACACTCCAGCAGAGCCTGGCTTTTTATCTTGGAGTGAGCAAGAGAGTTGCTTTCCTTTTCCTTTCTAAAGTTAAAGAGGCTTTCTGGAATCACCCAGGAGGTCTCATTGCATAAAGGGTCATTTTCTGACCACTGTCTCGGAGACCTTTGTTTGGGGGCAAGACAGAAAAAAATACGCTGCTCCTTGCAGAAAGATGGTCCTGGCCACTCCTGCTTCTCCGTGCCGCTCGCTGTTACAGTTCTGGTCTCGTTGCTCTCCCCCAGCCCACCCCAGCATGTTTCTGTACTCATGCAGTCTCACACAACTTCTGCAGAGGCATTTTGTGTTGCAGGGTGTGTCTGGGATGAAGGCATTAATTTCATCTTCCAGCTCACTTGCTCCTTACTGGTTTATCTGCAGATCACGGAGCTGAAAGCCGACCTGCAGTACCAGGAGTCTCAGATGAGGGCAAAGATGAACCAAATGGAGAAGACACACAAGGAGGTCATGGAGCAGTTACAGGTGACAGCATTTTTGTTTTAATTTGCTGAGCTGTGCTGTACCCAGGAGTGACTGAGGACACTCCTGATCAGAGCTTCTGCACGCACAGCTCTGCTAATGCTTCTCAGCCCTGTCCTGCAGCCTCTGCTCTGCCAGGCAAGCCCCTCCCCAGCTCTGTACCAGGCTGCAGTGCATTGTAACCCCTATTTATATCCTCCTTGCTGCTCTCTACTCGGGCTCAGACTTACTATATTGTAAAGTGCCGCGTTGTGTCCCCTATGGACTAGACGGGAACCATCAAACTCATTTTACCTATTGCCAAAATCAGGTTTGAACCTGTTTCTTCAGACCGCAGCACCTTTGTCAGCTCCCTGCACCATGTAGCTCTCAGTGTGATTTATGTGACCAGTAACCAGAGAGAGCAAAGCTCAAGAAACAATTGGCAGTTCCTTTAGCACTGTATCTCCGTAGTCCAAATAAAGAAGTCCTTGAGCTCGAGGGAACAGGGAGAGCAGGATTTTTGTCCTGGCCATGGAAACACTGGGCAGACTATCAGCGTGAATATGCTCCGAGCCACCAAAGAGATCAGGTCAAAGGGGAGCTGGTTACAGGGAAGAAATCAGACACAGAAATGAACTTTGCACCCTTTAATTGCTCTGGGGTATAAGAATGATCTAAAGCCCTAGCAATGAGAAAATGGGAGGGGATAAGACAAAAGGCTTATATTCTCCCTGAGAAAACAACCCCTCCTCCATCAGCGCACACCCAAGTTAATTATCAGAGTGGAAGACAGGTTTTGGAGACTGTGTCGCTGTCAGAAAGCTGGTGCCTGTGAGACCCACTTCGCAATGCGCATTCTCAGGCACTGTACGCCTATCTGAAGGTTGGACTATCTGTGTGTGGTGTGCCGAGGGCTGGAAACGCTTCCCCGCTCCTCGTGAGCTGGGAGGCACTGGCAGTTTGTATTTGAGGGACTGATGACAGCCAGAGCCTTCTCTGTTCTGCTTTATTGATCCTGCACTGCCTGTGTCAGCCCAGAGCTGTTTTTATCATACCTTTGGGTGGCCTGCGTAGAATGAGTTGGTGTTCTTACTCTGGTTCTGAATAGACAATTCTCCATTAGCGCAAACCACTACTTTTTGGTTACCTTGACAGCCCTGGCTGTGAGGTCAAGGGCTGACTGGGAGATGACCGCCCTCCTTGCAGTGGTTTTCCCAAGGCAGGGCACACTGGTCGCTCAGTGTGCGTGGGAGCAGTATACCCTGCTGTAGCTCAAAGAGGACGTCTGCTCTGAAAGCTGTCGGACACTTTCCAACAGCCTTAAACTTGTTCAGCTCTGAAAAAAGAGGAAGCGTCAGATCCACGAGCAGGTTTGCCTGCAGCCACCTGCCTCTCCGAGGTGGAGAGGGGTTTGCATGTCAGTCGGTTGCTGTGCTGTTCTGTACTTAGCTTGGTCTGGGACTGCCCTGAACTCCTTCTCTCTGGTGTCCAAGTGTTTTACTTCAGCTGGTATTGACTGAGGCTCTGGAAACTTTCTTCACTGATTCCAAAATAAAAATTCAAATCTTCTCGGTGTACTGTAGGTGCCTTGAAGTGTTCATATGATTCACTTTTTGAATGTGCTCTTGGTTTTTACTATTTTGTCTTGTCTTTTCATGGGGGGAAGTAGAGGTGCCTGTATTCTTCCAGTCTGCAGGAGGCAAAAAAAGCCGCTTCACCATGTGGAGCACTGGAGCAGAGGGTTTAATTCCTCTAATAACCCTTTGCATATTCATTCATTCACTGGAAAGCAATGCAGAAGACCTGTATCTGGCTTCACACGGGTTCTACCCCTTATCCTACTGCTATAGCATAATTTACTACATAGTCTAGAGAAGCGTGAGCTCGGAAGGTTGGTAAAAGGAGCTAGAGAGCCTTGTCCATAAGTTGCCGTGATTTTTAGTTCGCTGCAAACCTGAGAGACTGTAAGTTGCTACATGTTGGTGCTCTGATGGGTTTGGAAAGCTCCTGGTAGAGATGCCAGGTCAGTGCAGCATTGAATTCTGATAAAATGTTGGTGGCGTGTGAAGAAACCAAGGGTGAAGAAAGCTGGCGAACAGTGAGCTGCTCCACCCCGTGTTTTTGATATAAGTGAGAGCGTGGGGTAGGGGAATTTGGCCTTCAACTTGCTAAAACAAGAGTCAGGCTGGGGGCTTGAGTCACCAGAGTTTTACTCCACTGCTTCTCACGCTGTCAAAGCACGGTGGCTGGTGAAAGGGGAAGGAAGGCAAGCCGGTCCTGCTGACCTTGGTGAGCGTCCTTGGCTGGTTTAATGCGAGTTGCGCATTTGTCACCTTTCACGGTGGAAGCTGTTAACTTTCAGCCCGCTTCTCAATTACACTGGGGGAACGTGAGGGGGAAGGGATGGGAAGAGCCCTTTCTAGGCAGTTAGAGATGAGATGCCGGACTTGAGCTCATGCTGTGATGCCACGCAGCAACATCTACCTCCTTTTTTTCATCTGCGCGCAGGATGCCAGCAGCTTCTGTCCAGGCAATTCTAGGATCCCAAGAACTAATGATGATCCCTGCCATTAAATACCCATTTTCACTGTGTTTCCAGGCCAAGAACAGAGAACTCCTGAAGCAAGCAGCTGCCCTATCGAAGGGCAAAAAGCCTGAGAAGTCGGGAGCAATAACCTCCCCTTAAAACCAAACCCCCAATCTGGGAGCTTTCCCCAGCATTAGCCAAGGAGTCTAGGAGACCTGCCTGATCGCTGGAAGCCAAAACCTCAGTGTTGTCACTATCCCACTGCCATGGACTCGATGGAAACGCCTGGTGTGTGTTGCCTTTCGACAGCATGCTTGAGCATGTCTGGTTTCGATCTCTGTTGAATACTGGTCTGTATCATGGTGATCCACGGGGAGAGGTCCCAGCCATCCTAAATTCCCACCCTCTTCCCCAAAGTACTGCTTTCTGGAAGAAGTTTTATTTTCCTAACCAGTTACTACCACTGCCAACCCTTTCTATTAGCAAACAGGAACCTGCTGCATTAGAGACTTCTTGCTGGTTCCCAACCTGCTGCTGTGAGGCAATAGCCGTGGCCAGTTGTTATGCAGATAAGACGAGAGCTGCATGTGGTGGGAGCTTGATTTTTTTTTTTTCTTGAACTGTTCCCTCTTCTAAAGGAAGCCGATAAATTACCAGCCCAACAGATGTTACTGGAAGGTTGTGCCACTGCTGAGAATGGTTGATCCAGCTTTTTGAAGATGCTTCCAAAATGGGGGCTATGTATTTATCTTGGAAGGGTTTTTTTGTTCTGTTTTGTTTTTTCTTCTTTTCTATGTCAACTTGGCAAACCAAACTGCCTAGTTTTGTGTTTTCTTGTTTTGTTATGATAGCTTTTGGGTTGGGAGCCAGAGCCTAACAATACCGACCCAAACCCACCCCATATTCCTCCCCCCCGGTGCCCTGGTTACTTGGTGACCTTTGGGGCTTTGATGAGTTCTGTAGCTTGGTGTGATCAAGCGTCTCTTACTCTGTTTCTTTCCACGAGGAGAGTTCAAGCCGTGGATGTTTCCTCTGTTTCCCTGCCCCTGGATCGAGCTCGCCCTCTTCTCCCCCTTTCCCTGCCCCATTGCTCCCTTCCAGATGCAGAAGTAGGGGCCAGGTTGGCTCCAGGAAAGCGCTTACTCAGGCAGCAACCCAAGCCAGGGAGTGTTTTTGGGGCTCTCCAGGGACATTTCTCACTGCTGATGAAAAACCAGCAGAATAAAAGGGCTATGAAAGTTCCCTGTAACAGGGATGTGCTGCTCAGAAACAGCACAGAGACCACAAACCCTTCCAGCGAGGCCAGCTGGGCTGGGTGCTCCCCAGGCTCTGTCGCTTGGGGCAGGAGAGAATTGGGGGGGGGATACAAAGCACTTGGCCGCTGCGAAGGGGGGAAAAAAGCACGGCACAGCTCTTGGCCAGCAGGAAGGCTCCTCGGTGTCCCGGCACCAAGCTCCAGTCAGGGTGTGAAGAGACATCTTGGGGTTCGGAGACCTTTGGGGCAGAGGAGTAGGGATGAAACCTTAGTCTGGAGCAGTGCTGGAGGTAGGTAGTGAAGAAGAGAAATTGTCCTTTTTGATGCAGGGCTGGCTGCTCTGTCAGGGTTTTTATTAAGCTTTTAACTAGAGATTGTGATTTTTCTTTTTTTTTTTTTTTTTTTTTTTGTTACTAAAGATGACTTTACTGAAAGGCACTTTTTTTTGATGATGTTTGCTTCCGGCATGGAAGGAGCACGCTGCAGCATCAGACACTGCCATGTGGGGTTTTTTGTTCTTTTTTTTTTTTTTTTCTTTTTAAAAGACTTCTGATGTGAAAACAAGAAAAAAAAAAAGTTGTTACACTTTGCTAGAGTGTGACAGCAGGAAAATACTCACCGAATTTTATACTTCACACGTTTTTAGAAAATGAGGTGCATTGGTGGGATTTTTTTTAAATGAGGGCTTTGCTTTTTTGCTTCCCTCAAGATACAGAAATAGAGGGAGGAAGGCCCTGTATATACTATTATGGTTTGGTTTTTTTTTAATTGTGATAAATTGATAATGCAGTTGAGTAGCTGATGATTTGTAGTAATAACATTGTTTCTTTGTATGTTTGTAATAATGGAGATTTTAAAAGGGATGCTTTGATTTGTACAAAACTCTGACAACTGTAAAAGTGTTTTAAAAAAAAAAAAAAAATTCTTCATCTGTGTCTGATACTTTCTATTTGCCTTAAAGAAAAAAAAAAGCAACCAAAGCATCGTTCCCTGCCTGGAACTGATTTATCTCCTGCTGGCGGCTGCCTGGTCGAAGCATCAGTCGTGCTGCTTCGGGGTCTGGTGCGTATGGGAAGGAGACGGCATTTTTCTATTGTTTGCTTCGCTCCTACTTTTCTTTCTATCTTTAAATCCTCCCAATCAAGCTGATTGGTAGGATCCTCGTTACTTGGTTACGTCCAGCTTCCCAGGACCCATCCGGCTGTATCCTAAAAATATGGTCTTGGTAGGAAACAAAAAGGCAAGAGGATAAGGGAGTTCTTTTCTTTAAGATACAGGTGCAAATGAGGTGAGGAAACACCGTTTGTGTCTCTGAAGTCTTCCTCTTACCTCAGCCATGACTCAGGTTGGTTTGGTTGTTGGGGTTTTGTTTTGTTTTTTTTTTTTAAAGCTTCTACTTTTCCAGCAGAAATTTGGTAGTCAAAAATTCTCGGGAGATTTCCATTTGGAAATGCCCCCCATCCTCGTGGAAGCCGTAGTTCAGCGTGTTGTACTCTCCTCGTTGCAGCTTCCCAGCAAGACGAGCAGCGCTGTGACACGCCGTGCTTTCCTCTCGCGGGGCAGAGGAGCTGCCGTGTCCTTGAATGGCTCTTCCTGAGCGCTGCCTGTAGTGCAGGGTGGGAAAAGGCAAACCCTAGCTCTCTTGAAACGCCACACAACCTTTCCAGCTCAAAATCATCTTTCCATATTTTTCAAAGCCTGGAATTGCACACAGAAAATAGCTGTTTTTCTGGGAATCGTTACTTGTGACAAATACCTGAATTCGTAGTTAAATTAGGGGAAGGAAAAATAATTTCTATGAAATGTTTCTTATCAGTGCTGTTCTTCCCATCTCTGGCTTCTCGTGCCTGTGAAAGCAGAGGCTGGTGGTGTGCGCCGGTCTGGGTTTTCATCCCGGCTTCGTCAGCTTTCAGCCCCCTGACCAAGCTGAGAGCCCTGGGATGTCCTACTCGGAGCACTGAAGCTATTGCAGCCTTGCTGAGTTCCTTCAGCTCCCGTACAAGTACCTGTGCTGGGTCAGACGAAAAATCTGGGCCGGTTCCCTTGACCCAGGCAGGGGACGCCTGTGGGTGCAAAACCAACACGGTTTGTTCAGCGTGTGCTTCCCACCGGCTTGGCTTGGTGGATTCCTGAGCTGGGTATTGCACCTGTGGCCTTGAACAGCTCCTCGTCCCTCCTCCTCAGGCTCGTTTTCAGACAAAAATGCCTCAATTGCAAGCTCGCAGCCTGCCAAGGAAAAGATTTGCCCCGTGCGAGAAGGCGAGTTTGGCACTTCTTACCCCGTTAGTGCTGTGTAATCGTGCTGGTGGTGCTTAGGACGCTTTATCTCTGCTGAGCGAGCAAACCTTGCCTGTCCTGGAATGTGCCCAATTATCCTTGTTTACAGCAGGTCAGGAGATAGACAGAGCTGAGCTGCCGAAGGCTGGGCTCCGACTCAGCGGGTAGAGCCGTGTCTCCAAGGAGCTGCTCTTGTCTCTGCCCTGGCAGAGCTGTGGGGAGGATTTCAAACGGGTTCGTGGGCAATTTTTGCAATTCCCAGCCAGACGTTGGGTAAGAAATGGCTGGCTCCTGCCTTTATCTGCTAGCACACGCTTCCTTCTCTGTGTGGTTTATGTACTGCTTCTAAAGCGGTTTGAATGTTTGCAGAAGGATATATATATTTTTTTTTTAATTTATTTTGGGTTGTGATTGCTTTATTTCTATTTCAAAGCTTTAGGAAAATACGGGTTTGACAGTAACTGAATGCACTTGAATATTGCGTACTGATCTCAACCACCTGCTAGTAATGAAATCAGGGTTGAAAATGAGACTTTCAGATTTTTGGTCAGTGTTTTTCCCCATTCCACTCATTTCAGGCCTGTTGACCTGAAGCCCCTTGCCTACTTCCAACAGAAATCTCTTCTGGAGATGCAGAAACTCCAAGTTTCCACAGCGCTGAGCTGGGGAGCGGGAGGTGGTTGGGTTTTCAGGGCACAATGAAAACCTCTTACAAAGCATTTCTTGAGATCTACTAACCAAGAGGATTAGATATCTTTTTTCTTTTCTTTTCTTTTCTTTTCTTTTCTTTTCTTTTCTTTTCTTTTCTTTTCTTTTCTTTTCTTTTCTTTTCTTTTCTTTTCTTTTCTTTTCTCTTTTCTCTTTTCTTTTCTTTTCTTTTCTTTTCTCTTTTCTTTTCTTTTCTTTTCTTTTCTCTTTTCTTTTCTTTTCTTTTCTTTTCTCTTTTCTTTTCTTTTCTTTTCTTTTCTCTTTTCTTTTCTTTTCTTTTCTTTTCTTTTCTTTTCTTTTCTTTTCTTTTCTTTTCTTTTCTTTTCTTTTCAGTAATGGCTTGAATAAATATCTCCTTTCCAAACTTACAGGCCCCCTGGCAAGGACTTGAATCTTTAGTAGGCAAATGAATATAAACTGTTTTGCAGCCTGACAGCAGAAGTAAACTGACTTAACCAGCCGGTAATTACCCACAAACACGCTCCCTTCCATTCCTCCCTAATTGCTGGGGCTTTCTGGGAGCACTAACTCAGGTAGCACACCCTGGGGGCAACGGGCTTTAAAATCGTCCTTAAAGAAAACCCAGTAAGGATTTTAAAGTCCTCTAAAGCTTCGGTAACTAGTGTTTTGTAGCTGAGCCAGGAGAGGTAAGCACAAGCCTTGTTGTTCTTGTTGTAACCCCTGGACCAGCTGTCGCAGTATTCCGTCCCCGCTTCTGGAGCACATGGGGATAGCAGCTCCCTCCCGCTGCTATTCCCAGAGGCTCCAGACCAAGGAGGATCCCTCACCAGTACAAACCAGTACAAACCATTGTTTCTAAGCCACGTCCATCTGCCTGTGGTGCACAAACCCCGAAGGAGCGAGGTCCCGAGCGTTTACAGCTCCTGTTGTGTCCCAGGAGGTGCGGCAGTGCTGAGGACCGCGTTGGGGTTACCTTCCCTCCGCGGCTCCAAACAAGGCAGCTGCGGAGAAATTCCCTTCCAGCCCAGCCAGGCCAGGTGCCGGTGGGTTTTCCCACCAGAGGCTGTTAGTGGGGTGATCCAGCTCCCCGATCTTCGGACAGGAGCGGAGCACGTAAGGAAAGGAAACAAACAACAACAACGGCACGTGTCTTATCTGCTCCAGGGGCTCCCTGCAGGCAGTCCCTGTGTGGTCTCCGCTGCTTCCCTTTGTCCTCGGGGTCTGGGCTGGCCAAAACCACCGGCTGGTGCAATACCGAAAGGCCGGACAAGGTAACGGCTGTCCCCAGCCAACCTTGCTATTTGCTCTAAGGTGACTTATCTTAAGCAATCAGCCTTGCCTTCCTGTTTAGCTTTCTTGCAGGACACTGTTAAACTAAAGCAACAGACTTGTACAGTCAGCATGTTGATAACTAGGGCACTGTCAATCCCTAAATAATTACTGAGCTGTTGCATGTTTCCCGTGATTGGTGTTTCTGGAAACGGGGTGTTTGGGTTCAGCTCTTGGGTTCCTCTCTCGAGGAAATACTGCCTTTCCTT